CTGGGCTGGCCCTATGGCTCCAGCCGCTCAGTGAAGTCTCCAGAGATCATACCCAGCTCCGTTTCCCAGGTGCTGAAATTTTATTTAACAAAGGCCCTCGGCAGACACGGGGCAGAAGAGGGGGCTGTGGGTACAGAGGTGGGGCTGAAACCCCCACTCCCACCCCCCCACACACACACTCTGACATTCTCTCCTGAACACTGACGTGTGCGTGTGAGCATGGGTGTGTGCACCTGTCCGGGCGGATGCAGATGTGTGCACACACCTGTACGCGCACGTGGTCACTGTATGAGTGTGCGTGTGCATGCACAGATGCAGGTATGTACGTGTGTCTGTGGTATATGCAGGAGCACAAAGGAATTTAAAAGTTGGTTCTGACCTCTCTCTCTCCCTTTCCACCTGTTCTCCCCTTCCTTTTTCGCCCTTTCTCCCTTTCCAGTAATAAAAAAAGACAAGCTGTAGAGGGGACTAGAAGAGGGCCAGGGGACCTGGGAGTCACACGGACCTGGGTCTGAATCCCAGCTCTGCCAGTCCCCATCCCAAGCCTCAGCGTCGCACCTGTGGGATTAGAGTGTTTGCCTGCCAGGCTGTACCGCGGGCGAGTGAGCGCATTCGGAACAGCCGGCAGTGGGCCTGGGGCGTCGCAGGCTCTGGGCTCAGGAGGCTGGGTTCACAGCCTGTTCTGTAGGTTTCTGGCAGGGTGAGTTTGGGCAGTTTCTCGCCCTCTCTGTGCCCTGTGTGTCTCTTGCCGGGGCTGTGAGGGCTAAGTGAGTGATGTATGGAATGCTCTCAGACCGGTGCTTGGCACACAGTGGTAGCTTTATAACGGCAGCTATTAAAATGTGTATGAGGGCGCCTGGGTGGCTCAGTCGGTTAAGCGACTGCCTTCGGCTCAGGTCATGATCCTGGAGTCCCGGAATCGAGTCCCGCATCAGGCTCCCTGCTCAGCAGGGAGTCTGCTTCTCCCTCTGACCCTCCCGACACTCCCCCCTCTCATGCTCTCTCTCTCTCAAATAAATAAATAAAATCTTAAAAAAAAAATGTGTATGAAGAAGCATTTAGAGAAAAAGAAAAACCAAAAAAGCATTTAGACTTTTCAGGAGGGATGGAACTGTTCTAATATTAGATCGTGCTGATTGATGGTTGCGCCACCCTGTAAATTAACTAAAAATCATTAAGTCGTACGCTTAAAACGGGTAAGTTTTATAGTATATAAATTATACCTCAATAAAGCTGTTTTTTTAATAAAGCATTCAGAGCCGAGTTGCAGAATAATACATGCAGTATTTGTGAAGTTTTAAACTGTGTAAAACAATACTTCTCTAATACAAATATGCATAGTAAAAATATCAAAGGCAGCCCGGGGGAGGGGGTCCACGTCAGCTTCGTAATTATGCTTGCCCCCCCCACCCCAGGGTGGGCATGGGACCCAGGAAAGGAAAGTTTTATCTGTGATATTTTACGGTATTGGTATTTTTAAAAGACTGGGAATCCAGGCCACGGTGTCACAGAAACCAGAGAACAAAATGGCAGGGGAAGCAGGCGAGTGAAGGACCCACACTGGAGGCTCGGCGTCCAGAGGTCACTTCCTTATTTCGAGACTTCTGGGCTGAAATGTGATTATGCATCGCGCTTTGGGCAATTTTCAAGGTTATAATTCACTTTTTTTTTTTTAAGTTAAAAACCCTCTCCAAAAAAAGATGAAAATGTTCTTTTTGTTGAGAATGCTTTTGGGTTTGTTATGTTAATCTCTATACTCTATACTCTTACGTATTGAAATTCAAAATAGTTAAAACAAGATAATGGCCTGCCTTGCAGGCTGGGGTGAGGGTTGTAGAGGGTAAGGAGCCTCCTCTGGGACTACAGACTGAAGCACGTGGGCTGGGGTGGGGTGGGGTCAGGCCTGGAGCATTGCCTTGGTCCTCCCTCCTCAACCAGGGTGGCCCTGGGGTTGCCTCAGTTCCCATGGGGGCAGCTGGGCTGCAGCGGCCCCTCAGCCTGCTTCCCCCCCCAACCCTGCCCCTGGCTCCCAGACGCCCTGAGCGCTGGCAGACAGTTGGCAAAGGGGCCTCAGACAGCCTCCCTGATTTACCAGGCTCTCCACGTCTCCTGGCTGATGGATGACCTGTGCTTTCCCTCTCTCCTCCCTCTAAATGCCTCTGTCTCCAAGGCCACCCGCCCAGAGTGGGAGCGCGTGCGCAGGCGGGGAGGAGCTGGGCAGCCTGGCAGGGCCTCTGTGGGCCTTCCCTGCCTCCTTCCACCCAGCAGCCCTGCCTGTAACCTCGAGGTCTCGCCCACAGCCAGAGCTAGGCCTGGTTGGCCGGGGACTGCCTAGGTGCTCAGATCCCTCCCCTTTGACCACTGTGAATTGAGCTCCACCAGCCAAGGGCCAGGCTCAGTGCTAGATCCCTGCCCCCAGGGAGCTCCCAGACAATAAACAATAAACAGGACCTGAACACTGCCTCTTTGGGAGGGTTGTCAGGCCTCTCTAGGAGACAATCTTGAGTTGAGATTTAAAAGTTGAGAATGAGCCACACAAGGAGTGATTTGGTGCAAGAATATTTTGGAAAAGGAGCTGGCTAGGTACCCCTGGGTGGCTCAGTCGGTTAAGAGACTGACTTCGGCTCAGGTCATGATCTCTGGGTCCTGGGATGGAGTCCCGTGTGGGGCTCTCACTCAGCGTGGAGTCTGCTTGTCTTTCTGCCCCTCCCCCTGCTCGTGGTGTGCGTGCTCTCTCTCCCTCTCTCTCTCAAATAAATAAATAAAATCTTGAAAAAGAAAGAAAGAAAGAAAGAAAAGAAAGAAAGGAAGAAAGAAAAGGAGCTGGCCAGTACAAATGCTCTGAGGCAAGCCCATGCTTCTGTTCAGGGGCGTGCAGACAGGGGAGGTATGGAGTCTCAAGCCCCATCCCCGACACAAAGTTACTGGATGACCTTGGACAGGTTGGGTCACCTCTCAGGACCTCACTTTCCATGTTAGTAAAGATGGGCCAGGCTTGTGATTCCCAAGCTCCGCTCTGGGCCTACAGCCTGGGCTCCCTGGGGGTGAGTCCTGAGAACCTCCCAGGGGGTTCAAAATCACCTCAAGTAAGACCCCACACCTCGAGGGCCACAAAGATGGAGCAGTGTCGTCCAGGTCCTCAAGAAATTTGACACCATGGGGAGACAGACTCTTCAACTAAAATCACAAGCTGTGTGACAAGCCCCATCATGGTGTCACAGACATGGCCACAAGGGGGCTACTGTGGGAAGAACACCTGAGTAGGGCGTGGAGGGCAGCACAGGAATGAGCTGGCAGGTCAGGGAGGGGTGAAGGCAGCAGGCGGAGGCGTGGCGGCCCCACCAGTGGGTGTGATTGGGCCCCAGCCTGTGCAGTGGGACAGGCTCCAGAGGAGCTGGAAGAACGCTTCACTGTCCCCGACTCTTTGACTCTAAATACAGATGCCAAGTGCTCTACACACTCGCCCAGAAGGCAGGCAGAACCAGTGGGTTGGCAGCATCCAGGGGCGGTGTGACACTCAGCAGGGCAACAGGCCTCCACCCTCCACCCTGTGGACCCCCTGCACCCCTGAAGCTCCAGCCAGCTCAACCACAAACAGTTCTGCAAACAGCCATACTCTCCCACCCCCCCTTTAGTGCGGACTGACCGTGGCCCCCGCAAGGACCCCTCCCCCCTCCTCCACTGCCTTTGTGGGCTGTCTCTTTCTCAGCCTTGGGTTTCAGAGACCCAGAAGCTAGGGTGGGGGGGCAGAGCTGCCACTGCTAACCCCACTCCCCTACCCAGACGCTGGGCTCTCTCAGGAGGGCTGGGGGTGAGCCCTGCAGGAGTGTGGGCCCCAGGGCAGGTGTCCCATGAACGGGGAGGATGGCCCCAGAGCTGGCAAATAGCACGGAGGACGTTAAGCAAACCTCATCCAGCCTCAACATCCCCTCACACACTTGCAAAGAGCTGTGCTCGGTTACCTTCAGCTTAAATATGTGTGGCCAACTTGGACTGTCGATGGGAGTTGGGGGAATACTGTCACTATCACAGCCGGGGTGACAGAGCTGAACACATCGGGGCTGGTGATGGTCAAGGGCACGGATTCTGGAACCAAACTGCCTGGGCTCAAATGTCGGTTCTGGCTCTTTTTAGCTGTGAGACATTGGCCAATGGACTCAACCTCGTGGACTTAATGAAAACTATTTTGTTGTAATAATTATATGTTTCTGTCAATGCGCAGTAGAGAAATATAACCAGCACACCGATTTCCGTCACAGATTCTATTGTGAGGACAAAGCTAAGCCGAGGATTTAAAGCAGTTTTAAAGCAAGTTGATTTTTAAAGAAAAATATAAAGTAAATAATGCAGGTCACAGTTGAGAGGCTGGCTCTTAAGTGACAGAGCTTAGGGACTGCTAATTTAGGGGCCTACTTGGCTCTGCTCTGGGCTTTCATAGGGGGCCAATGGTTTTCAAACTGCCCTTCAGATCCTGGGACCCCCAGAAGGCTGGGGCAGGTGGAGATCCATGGCCTCTCGGGCGACAGAGTGGTCAGTAGCTGCAGGGGACCATGAAGGAAGCTACTCTGCCCTGGGAGCTAGGCACCCCCACATCTGGTGTCTGATCCCACACCCTGTCTGGGCTGCAGATGTGGTTTAGGAACTAGCATGGCCACAGGGCATGGCAGGGCCCAGGGTGAGGCCATAGGGGATGGGGGCCAAAATGAGGCTACTGGGAAGGTGGTTGGCAGTTAAAGGGTCCAGGACTGGGTCCACGGGAAGGACATGGGGAGGATCATGTATGTGTTGATGGAGGCTGGGATACAGCATGGTGGTAGGAGCCTCAGAGGGATTTGGGGGAACTCCACTGCCAAGGGATGGAGCAAGGTGCTGAAATGGTGGGGGAGGCCCAGGTCATCAGAAGTCTTATTCACAGAGCAGCAAGAATCTCTGAGACATAGGGACAGGGATGAGAGGGAAGCCAGCAGTGGGAGGAAGCGTGCAGCTAGGGAAGCTTAGAGATGCATGGGCACTCAGGCCCCCAGGTCGATGGGGACGGGAATCCTGCTGGAGTGTTAGGCAGTGTTCAGCCAAGGTGAGGCCTCAGGAGCTGCCCCCTCTGCCCAGGGGAGGACCTGGGAAGTCAGAGCGCCCTCCGGTGGAGAGTGCTGTCTTGGTGAGTCCAGGGGCTGGCTCCTGGCTCCCACCATCCCAGCCATGGAGCCGGGATTAGGACTTGCCTTCAGCGCTGGAAATACAGACAGTGACGTTTTAAATAATTACAATTTTTTAATTGAGGTATAATTTACATATATTTGTGTAGGGGTACAACATCATGATTCGATATTTGCATATATTGTGAGCTGATCAACATAGTAAGTCTAGTTAACATCCATCACCACAGTTATCTTTTTTTTTTTTCTCGTGACGAGAACTTTTAAGATCTGCTCTTGGGGCAGCTGGGTGGCTCAGTC